CAAAGTATATAAAACCAGAAATAAACTGACTCCCCCTCAACCATTGATATAACTCATAGAAAGATATGTAGGAAACCTGTCAGCAGCAAGTGCAACTAGAAGATAAAAACAGTTCTTAATTACAAGTTTCAGAGAGGTAGGGTGTGATTCCGTTTCAGAAAAAAGGAGAAGTCCTGTGGACCTTAAAGACTAAAAATTTATTAGGGCATCAGCTTTCTTAATAAACTTCCTTTGTTAATATTGAAAATTTAAAAAGGAACACTGCTATTCAAAGAGCTCTCTCTGACCCCCCTATCAGCAGCAACATCCAGCGGTATCACAAACACGAAGTTGAGCAGGGACAGACTCTAGCACTTCAAATATATACCTACTAATGCAGATGTTTGTACCTTGATTTTGAAAGGAGCTGACCTGGGCAATTCAGGAAGTCTGATAGCTAGAAGTTACTGTGCAGTGGAGCCAGAGCAAAGCACTGACATTCTTTGTTAGGTGTTTAATCCGATTCTACTGGAACTCTCTCAAGATTATCCAACCTCTGTAACATGCACATTCATTGGAGAGACACTTCACAATAGTCCATTTTCACTCAGGTCTTAGGACTGAAATGGTAACAAAACTCACTTGGAACGATAGAAAGACCGGTTTAGGCAGTGTCATTAATTGTGAGATCCAAGCATGACTCACAGAAAAAGTCTCCAGCAAATTCACATGACTTTAAGGGATTCTTTTTTTCAATGTAGCAAAAAGAGTTGTTCAGAAAATCAAGCAGACTATTAATTTTGTTATGGCATGAATAGCCTGCCAGTGAACACAGCAAAGTAAATGCTACTCATCTCTGCAGAATGTAACTGAATTTAATTCACCAAAGTAAATTTTGCATACAGTCAAGGATTAATGAAGTGCTTAGTGCTAATGCTACCTTGCAACACTGAAAGCATGGTTTGTCTTAGCCATTCACAACTGTGGAACCGTTACTAATATTTTTACTCCCTCAACTAACGTATCCTGGTACAGTCCCCAACAGATCACAAATGCATCCATGTGGAGTGAGCCCAGTGAGATGCCAGAATCTCTTTCACCTTTCTTCCTTCTCTCCTTCCCCTGGAAGAAATGGTGTATAATAGATCAGCTTCATGGCCTCCCTGCTGTGATGAACAACTTGATCCACTTACAGTTCCAAACACACGATGAATGAAAGAACAGACAAAAATTCACTTCTTGCAAAGAAAAGCAGCTGCTCTCTAGTGGTCAAGGGCAAATATTAAACCATTTTAAAGGAAAGGAAAAGACCTAGGAGAACACTTAATTATCTAGGCAACTAAGAATACAAATGAGGAATAAGACAGAAACGTGGATTCCAAACATTAACTACACAAAGCAAAATGATTCAGGTTAAGTCTTTGTTACAATACATATTCAACCCAGCTGTGTTTCTATAGCAGTTGTGAAAAAATATAAATCATGTGCATTGTTTGAGAGTCATGCCAGCTAATTGAATTTACTGGCAGCACTTCCTCTGCAATGCTCCAAACATCCTCTAAGAGAAAATGTAGCTTTTAAATAGACCTGAAGAAAACTGAATCAAGAATTTTGAACTAATAAAACACAACTCTTTACTGTTATAAACGTGAAGTAAAAGTAAGTAATGAAAGGAAGGAAGTCTCTTAAAATTTATTACATTCCAGAGCTTGAAGTTTTGGGTTTATTGGTGAAGTCTCTTCTGTTGTTCTACAGTGCTTCTGCTATAGCGCTTTTAATGAAGCCCCATAAAATCTAATATAATAGTTGGCTGTTGACAAATCATATACACATACAAGGCCCAGGGTTTGCTGTATCCAGACATTTCTTACATAATTCTATGAAATTTACAAGTTTGACATTTCCACAGTTGTGCATAATAGCATGAGTGATGACCAGCTGGCAGATTTGGATGCAAATAGTAAAGTCAAAATGAAGAGCTATTTAATATCAATACCAAAGAGAGGCTTTGAAATAACTTTAATAGACTGAAATGCTGGCACGAGCCAGGGAGCACAGAATCATCCAGAACTCACTGCTTCCTGCCTACCTGGTTATATACAGTGACGAACAGTCACATTGCGGACCACTGAGGAGTGAAGGGATGTCGCAGCGCCAAGCAGTGAGCATGCATGAGTGACCCAGTGCAATGAATGGGAAACTTACTTGGATTGACTTCTGCCCTGAGGGAATAGTCACTTTTCAATGGACATGGATAGTCTCTCACCAGGCTGTGGTAACTGGAAATCATTGCTCTTACAGCAAACAATGATCAGCCAAACTAATTCGCATGAAGCTATTACAATACATTTGACTTATCTAGCAGTGGAATGGAAACAACTCAGGGGTTGGGACTTCCTTTTGAACGTGGCGATTCTAGAAGTTTGACGGATGCCGCTTTGGCTGATATCAATGCCCAAGTTGCAAGGCTACTACTATGGAACCCCAAGGGGGATGCTAGACGTGTTTAGCTACAATTCCACTTCCTTTCATTTAGTGCCTTCAACGTGAATCCGGCTAGCAATATTTTGAACTTTTCTCCCCCTGAATTTTTGCTTGATGAATATGGTCAGGCAGTGACCATTTCTGTGTCTTGGCTGTTTGGAGGCCTCTGTGAAATGCATTTGGAGTCTCAGTCCCATTCCTAACATGCACCCACAACAAAAGGCAGACACTTCTGTTGGAAGTAGCTGGCTGACAGCAGGCAGACCTCGCACTGAAATCTTCAGGGTGACCACAAATCACTTCCCCCACACAGAGGTACTCTGACCAGGAATGCTTGAAGTATGCTGGTGACAAGGAAGGACAAATGCATGTGATGTTGAAAGGCCTGCATACCAGCTGACATTCTCCAGATTCCTCCTATCTCTGTTTAGTGCACTACTCTTGGAACAGCTGTGTCATGTTAGTGCAGAATATCAAAAAGATGGATATTCTGTACTTCAAAATGACATGAATATTAATTGTCTAAGCAAACAGCCATACACATGATGCTCCCCCAAGTATCAGGACTCAAAACACTGCTTCTTCATGGGCCCCAAGCTTCCACAGCCAGCAATCATGTTCATCTGGAGAGCAGACCTTTACCACAGCAGCCAAGCTACAGTTATACATTTTCATTTTCATCTGCGGCTCTGAACTGGTGAATATTAACTGAGTAAGTGAGGCTCATGCTGGGAGTGAGGGTATATGCAGGTTGGGTGTTTGCTCTTCTACTTCTGTCTGTTAAGTGATTCACAGTCAAGAATCCTCATCAACCAGGAGAATTGATTCACACATCCAACCACTACTACAAAAATGAAATAGGGCTTCCTTTGGTTGAAAAACTAGTGCCAGTCTATGAAC